AGGGTAGGGAAGGGACTAAAAGCTTGGTTGAGGGGGCAGAGGGGGAGGGACTGGAAGCCCAGGTGAAGGCCAGAGAAGAGCAGAAACTAGAAGCCCAGGTGAGGGAGCAGAGTGGGCAGAAACTGGAAGCCTAGTTGAGGGGGGTAGGACTGGAAGCCTAAGTGAGGGGTGCAGACAGGGAAGTAACTGGAAGCCTGGGTGAAGAGGCAGAGGGGGAGGGACTTGGAAGCTTAGGTGAGGGGGGCAGCCAAGGAAGTAACTGGAAGCCTGGGTGAGAAGGCAGAGTGGGAGGGACTTGGAAGCTTAGGTGAGGGGGACAGACAAGGAAGTAACTGGAAGCGTGGGGGAGTATGCAGAGGGGGAGACTGGAAGCCAGGCCTAGGGGGCAGTGGGGAGAAAGACTGGAAGTCCAAGGAGAGGGACCTTTTCATCAAAGCAACAGGGATTCTTGGCAGAAATTCTCAAGAAAATTCCATTAAAATTGTACCAGACTTGTTGTTGTGGTACTGTTGCTCAAGTTTATTTGTACTTCTTAGAGGTACTATAGTAGTTGTAGTAAACCCCTTAGTTGTTTGTAAAGATTGAATTTTCAACAGACTTGCAATTCTGGTTCTTTTTTATGCTTATTTGGCCTTGCAGGAAATGTAATTTGTGGTAATTTCACATCAAATTGTTCATGCTAGTGTTTTCAGAATACATATCCGTAGTGGTTACAGAGAATTCTCTTTGGTCTTTTTCCAGATATCACTTTTTTAGTCATTTCCTATATGTTCTTTCCAGGCACATAAATTTTCATAAAACGTGAGAGTTCCAAAGTCAGGAGCTCTCCCCCCGGATTGTATGTTGATCAGTGCTCTTATTGTTTCTTGACAGCTCCATTGTACGTAGGAGAGTTCCGGGGGGTGGATCATCTGTAAAGGAACAAGGCGGAATTCATCGACTTCACAACAGAGATGATGAAGATGATGATAACAACACATGGAATGGAAACTCCACTCAACAGATGTAATCTGAGATGATCCAAAAACCCAGAATATATCAAGAAAAAAATTATTCTAGATTGGATTTTAGCAAATTGTGCCACTTTGTAAAACAAATCTTAGCGATCGGCTGCAGAATTGTAAATGTGTAAATGTGGAGGATAAGCCCAGTGACACAAAATGCTCTTTTAATCAGACCGATCACTTTCATCAGTTCGTTTGAGCATATAAAATGATAGTGTCAAAAGGTCTTTAATGCAGTATTACTCTATGTCATCCAATATTTCTGTCCAATTTTCGATGTGGCCAGGGGCACTCCTATATAAAAAGGATGGGGGTGCTTGTTATACCTTTTAAAGTGCCACTGTGATGATATTCTCAATATCCATTTCTTTACATTTTCGTACACATTAGGTCTTTCTTAGATATCTTGCCAAATTTCAATTTTCTACGAACATTGAAACTCGTGGTTTTTGGACCTTAATTTCGGAGAATTTACGGCCGCCATTAATTTTCTTTGTTCCAAGTCTTGGTTGAAAATTTGAGAAAATGACGTCATTTTCTCAAAAATACCGCACGGGTTGAAATTATGATAACAATTAATGTCAAAAATTGCACGAATATATGAGCCATAGTTTTTGTTACTTTTTATGCGAATTGCTGTGTTAATTGTTATTATAATTTCACCCCGTGTGGTATTTTTGAGGAAATGACGTCATTTTCTCAAATTCTCAACCAAGACTTGGAACAAGGAAAATTAATGGCGGCCGTAAATTCCCGGAAATAAAGGTCCAAACAACATGAGTTCTAATGTTTATAATGGATTGAAATTTGGCAAAAATCTAGGAAAGACCTATTGTGTGCGAAAATGTCAAAAAAGGGTATGGAGAATTTGATCATAGTGGCCCTTTCAGAAATCAGGTAACTTGAGATAAAAAGGCTTCCTCCCCATTTATGTTGTGACATGATCTCACATGAGGTCAGTGTGTAACTAACCATGCAACTAACACATTCTTAAAATAAAATCCAAGTTTCAATTTCAATGTTCTCAGCATTGTTTGGCAACTGTTCAGTGTGATGTTCCTGCTGATTAATTATACAACGAGACCGACTATATATCATGATAAGGGTCTTAAAGAGGTATACCCCCAATATAGGAGCTAAAATTTACCAATTTTTTCCGGGAAATGACATATGTGTGCCAGAGAGATTGGGACTAGATTGGGACGAGATTGGGACTGAGATTTCGGCAAGAATTTACGGGTATCATGAAATGGGATTAGGGAAAACTTTGGGCTGAGAAATGGGATTCAACTGATTCCATAGTCATTTCTCTTTGCAGAACTCGAACGGCAAAACGTTTTTTGGCACAGGGAAATTACATGTACTGTAGGTGGTTATGTAGCAAAAAAAAAAGAAATGGATATTCAAAGTAACCACTATCGTGATAAGAGTATTATTGCTTATATTAAACACTGGATTCCCCTGATTTGACCCCTCAAATAAGGGGAGGAGAAGCTGACACAAGCCGCCACAGAGAGGCGGACCCGCAGAAAACAGAGCGACAGCCTCGACAGATCAGAGACAGAGCACAGATGCCGCCTCTGCAACAGAGACTGTCACTCCTGCATCGACCTCTGCAGCCACAGACGCCGGTGCTCCAGCCAAGCAGACAACTAGGCTGCTACTCATGGTCAACCCTGACCGACGGAGGCCTACTTCTATTGGATAACGCAATTCAAGAGATTTTATTGGCTTAGCCAGCGTAGTATACATAAACAATAGCCTCCATTTGGCGCGAAAATATGCTAGTTAACAATTATTCACCGAAGTGGAGGTGAATAGTGGTGGATATTTACCTCGCCGCTTCGCGGCTCGGTAAACACTCATCACTTTCACCGACTCTGAGGTGAATAATTGATTTAGTGTATACCACACAAGCTGAATAATTAGCGGACCAAAACTTTATTTTATGTGTGACAAGCGGTCGGAAATTTTAAAATCGCTCGTGCGAAAAGCACTATTCACTTGTGTGGTATATACTAATATAGGATATTTGTCCGCGGACATTATCTGTTCCGGGAAGCGAACAGTTTTCCAAGAGCGTAGCTCGAAGAAAACTGTGAGCTTCGAGGAACAGATAATGTCCAAGGACAAATATTCGAGCATATTTTCGCGCCAAATGGAGGCTACTGTGTTTATTATCCTTCCGCAAATCTTTTTCGCAACAAGTTTAATTTGGAAAATTGGGGAATATTCTCGGATATTCCCAAGTTCTAGCTGGGGAATATTCGGTCACGTGACGTGTTTAGACCAACCGCGCGCGAGTGAAAATATTTGATGGATTATAAGAGCAATTATGCCATGCTCTACAAATAAGGTAAGCCTATGCGCAATTTTTGGGGCGTTTCTGTTTCTATTTTATTTCAGGTTTCTCTAGACCGGGTGCATTTTTAACAAAATAATTATTCCACTCGCGCTTGCTGGATAAGAGATGATTATGATTATAGCCAACTCGTAACGAGACTAGTAAAGATTTTATTCGAATGATCTTCACCGGTTCGTCTTAAACAGTCAAGACGTACAGCTGGATTAGTAATAGAGGAATGGACTTCAGGATTGCCCACAGTTGTTTGTCAACAAAAGAATGTAGAAAAACTTTATGTTGTTCTAAATTTCCATTTATTTGCAATATTAAGCTGTGTAATTCGTGCACAAAAGCAATAAATAAATATAAGATCAACTATAACGACATTATTGAGCGTACGATTGCGAGAAGGATTATTTACTGTAATCATTGTGTAAGGAATGGTGCACCGCTTCCGAAAGTCATCTTTCTTCTTCCCCCCAATAGAGGCGCCACTGCCTGGGGGCTCAAAGTAAATTGAACAAAGAGAAGAAGGCCAGATCATAATGATAATAAGTAATTATTGCTTTTGTCCTGACTTATTGTACCATTTTGAATTTTTCGTTCGATCCTTTTCATTTCTAAATCTTTTCATTTATCCACAATATTTAAACCTAAAGTATTTTCGGCAGTGACTAACTATAATACGTACAGTCATTTGTCTCTCCTTGTGTAGGAGAGCCACAATGACGTTAAGTTCTAAACATTTTTTTACTCTCCATGTGACTACAATTACGTCATAACAGGCCATTTCCGAATAACCTTGTGCCTCTGTTTCAAAACGAGTCCCCGTGCAAAACCTTTCATATGAAAATGAGTTTGATTTGCGTGAAAATGAACTTGTAAATGAACACACAAAAGGACACGCTTCGACACAGAGGCAACTGGTAATTCGGAAATAGCCTATTCTATGAGAGAAGACAGTTACGTTGGTAACAGTCGCTATGGACAACAACTTCTTGTCCCACCTTAGCGTATCTCTTTCGACTCTGGCATTTCAGTCACTTGAGGAATGAAAGCAAACATTAGAACTGTCCTGACGAATACGCGACCAAAATTGTAGCTTTACACAAATAAAAAAGACACCTAACTTTACCTGTTATGTTATCCCTAATAGCACCACATGAGAGCTGAAGCCCAATTCTGTAAAGAGCTTTCAGTTATAACACTGTCAATCTAACAAAGCTTTTTGGTGTGTTTTTTACAAAATATTTAGTAACTAGAAAATTTTAAGATACCTAACTATATGTTAGCTAACGTACATACTTTGCTGTTGTGTACAGGGATGCATGTACAACAGCCACAACAAGATATTTGTTTTACTGGGTTAAAAACGTTCGACCATTCAAGTGCCATTATCATCATGTAGTTTCTCCTTGGTACATGGACACAATGTTAACCAAACAAGTAATGAGAATATAGAAAACCGTCAACCAAATTCTCAGAGTGCGCAGACGCCACATTTTGCGTGTTCTAGTTTGTGCGAAACGCACAAAGACTTCCAGCTTCATCGCAAAGCGAATCAGTATATCTTTATACGACATTTCCTTCCTCTCCAATAGTTTTTTTTTTTCCTGTTTTCTTTTTTAAGGTCTTGGCGCCACCTTTGTGATAATTTGAGAGTTCAACCTCCCGTTTTCGTGTAGACTCATTATCTCACCGCAGTGTATTTGTTTTCCAATTTGTTTGTAACAAAGTGGAGCAGTCAATTATCTTCTCATTAATTCAACATCGTAGATACATTCAAGCATATTTGACATCCTTTCAGAATTTCTTTTTAGTTGGAACAAAGTCTCGGTACAAGAGTTTGAATCGTCTGTTCCACTATCTTATCTGTCGTGGTAAATTCGAGAATTGCCAACATCTTCTCGTCTCTTCCTAAAACAAGACCTAGCTTCTCGTATCACTGAACTCCTACATCTTCGAATAGACTCCACATCATCCTTCATGACATATTCTCTTATGTGTCAAGGTCTTATGTCGTTGCTTCAAACTGTCTAACGACCTAATACCCTTTCGTAACATTTCTTCAATCCGACGCCTTGGCCTTTGGTTTGAATCGTCTGAAGAACTGCACAGTAGGCACATGAACCTGTTCGTACAAAGCGTTCCTGACAGAAGCCGTGAACTTATTCACCAAACAGAAGGCAGTGGATACCTCAAACACAAGGTTATAAAGGATTACCACACGAAAATTCCCCAGCCAATCCAGTCGGCCAAACTCGCCCATCAGGTCAAACTTGGTAATCCCTAAAATGGAAAACACGTAAAAATTGAAGGTAAGTGTCTACAGAAACCCACAAGGGAAAAGGAATCGAGAGAGACCTAAGCCCACCTAAGGGCGGTCAGCTAAAGAAACGCTACGGCAGCCAGCTCGGGACCCGCGAAGTTAGCTGAGGACTGCAGATGGCCTATGCTTCACTGACGAACGACGGGCAAACGAGAGTATACACTTCAGAAGTTTGCTCTTTGGTGCACTCGCAAAGTGTCAAAAACGCTAGTTCAATGTTGAACCAATGCTAGAGGTTTGCTCCTCCGTAAGCTACAATTCACTTTTTAGTACTCGAAGTAAATGCATTGTCTTACATTGAATTACCAAGTGGTGAAAGCTTCTGCTGGCTTGTGTCAAAATTTGACCTTATTCGATTTATCTGAACTTATGTCGTCGAAAGTCGCACGTTAACTTTCCTCTTGTTGCGACAAAGAACTTGACCATCACGTCAATCTAAAGGAATCCTCGTCACACAGGCTTTCTTGATCACTACATTATGTCCTAAAGACCTGTATCGTGACGACGTCACGATTATTCACGTCAAATTAGTCCAACGTACTTACCAAGCGTTCTAGACAGAACTGGTAAAGCTGAACTAAGAATCAACAACACGATACAGTTAACGATCACCTGCGGATCAAATGGCAAAAGATTATTAAAACAACAATGAATTATAAAAGCAAGGCCTTACATGCATTCCGACCTTCATGGAAAACGGAAGGATATAGTCGAGTGTAAGTCCGTTCGCTGGGGATCAAAGAGGGAGAAAGAAACCTATCGGTGCCAGCGCGTATGTCGGCTTAAATCTGAAGCTTAGAGCGACGAGGAGAATTGGAACCTGAACATGTAATATAC